ATATCTACTACACCTATTATAAAATATATACATAATATCTCAATATATACCTACTATAGAGATAAGGGATACATAGTATATGTATAACTATATATATATACATAATATAAAGATAAGGTATAGAGAAATAGCAGGGAAGAGATGATAGGAAGTATATAAAGAATAGGTATATAGAATATAAACATATATTAGCTCATATAGAAATATTTTAGGATATAGGAAGAATCTTAAAAGAATAAGAATAGGATATCTAAAGAATACATCAAGAATATATAAAGGTGATATCGATACCGACCATAGCTCAGTTGGTAGAGCGGAGGACTGTAGATGTAGAATAGAATTCCTTAGGTCACTGGTTCGAATCCGGTTGGTCGGATCAGTTTTTATACTAATAGATAGGTATAGGGATAGGTATAGGTATAGGAAAAAGAGTATAAATAAGTAGAAATAAGTATATAGTCAAGTACATAAGCATAAATAATAAAGATAATAAAGATAATAAAGATAATAATAAAGATAATAATAAAGATAATAATAAAGATAATAATAAAGATAATAATAAAGATAATAATAAAGATAATAATAAAGATAATAATAAAGATAATAATAATATAAAGGAATAGAAACATATATAAATATACATAAGTCGTGGTAAAAGAGAAGTAAAGTATAATAAGTATAATAAGTATAATAAGTATAATAAGTATAATAAGTATAATAAGTATAATAAGTATAATAAGTATAATAAGTATAATAAGGAATATAAAGAATAAAGTCTAAGGGGCATATAGTCATGGTAAATCCATTGTGGTGTAGTTGGTAACATACAAGCCTTTCACGTTTGTGCCCCGGGTTCGATTCCCGGCGATGGAATTTTTTAGCAAGAATATATATATATAGTACACATAAGTACACTACAAATATTCATCAAATAAATATTACTACAAGACATATATTCTTTTATTGATGTATTCAACTGTCTTTACAATAATTAATTTTATAAAAACAAAATTTATTTGTTTTTATTCTTTTTTATTATCCTTTTATTTTTTATTCTTTTTTTCGTTATCTCCAACTATCATTTTTTACTTTTTCTTGTTAATTCTTATTTGTTATTTACTTTTTTGTTTATTAATCATTGTTTTTGATTGAGTGTAAATGAAGAAAAGAAATAAGTATAATGAATTAAAGAATATTCTAATGAAAATAGAAAAATTAAAATATGTCAAAATAATTCCAGTATTAATTTCAATAAATGGATTAAAAAATAACTCAAGTAATAGATTAATTAAAGAAATAAAAATTGAAATTGACATTTTT